ACCCAATGTTTGCTGGTCTGTATGGACATTATATCTCCAACTTCTTCTTTGTCTGCGAACATTCCTCTTTCCGGTGTATATAGTTTTTACTTCTCTGTCATCTGACATTCTTCCAATGTGCCGCAACCATTTTAGTTTTTTAGCTTTCATGATGCCAGTGATCAATGGTGATTTAAATAGATTATGAATTTCGTTGTCGCTATTTACTCTCTATTTCCCGCTGTATGCATCATTGATGGGTCCAAAGATTTTTCGTAAGACGTTTTCGAAAAAAGTGTAATAAGGCTTCATTTCTTTTATGTGTGCTTCAAGTTTCAGAGCCATATAACTGGTCTCATTAACGTTTTACATATTTTGATCTTGGTGTTGCGAGACAGACACTTTGACTTCAGAGTTAGTGCTTTACTAAAGGGTTAGTGCTTTACTAAAGGGTTAGTGCTTTGCTGTAGAGTTAGTTCTTTACCAAAGAGTTAGTGCGTTACTATAGGGTAAGTGTTTTACTACAGAGTCAGTGCTTCACTATAGTGTTAGTGGCTCCAGTTACATCAGAAATGTAACCGTGGGAGATTTTCAATATATCGCACGCTCTGTACAGCTCAGGACAGTTCATTATAATTGTCTTTATTACATGCTGATGTACCTGTGTAGTAATGCACCTGTGCAGTGATGAACCTGTGTAGTGATGCACTTGTGTAGTGATGCACATGTGTAGTGATGCACCTGTGCAGTGATGTACCTGTGTAGTGAAGCACCTGTCGAAATACAACTAAATATGCCAGGCAATAAATTAGACAGTATTTTGTTTGTTACCGTATTTTAGTACTAGAAGTACATTTTACTTCATGTAATGAGGGATATTTTCACCCTGATTAGGAAGGTTGGGGGAAGCCCAAGTTTAACCAAAATACCGAGATATTCCAGATGCTCGGATTAACCGAGGTTTTCAAGATAGGTGATGACCACGAGATCACGTGAAACCCGATAATAGCGACCACAGATCGCCAAGGGGAAATAAAGGACCACCACGTGTTGCCACGTGAAACTAAGAGGCAGTATAAGTTTAGACCCTAGTCGGATCAAGTTAGTATGTGTTGAACTGTCGGAGTGAAAGGGCGGGAGATTGACTGAGATAATGCCAACGTGAGACACTGATGTGAGAGGAAAACTAGACGACGACATCCATTTGAAGCCAAGAGCTTCAAAATAACGAAAAATTGCATCCTACAAAGGGATGACTGGATCTCGAACCCGGCACCCCGACATTACGAAGCACGTTCGCAACGCCAAAGCCACAGATGCCGACTATTTAAATTTACGAGGAGAAAATATTGTTCTAAAACGCAATTTATCTGTAAGAATGTAGAGTAGCTGCCCTGTGGAGATGTCATGACAACGTGGTAGCGTCGTTGTCATGTTATGCTACTATAATAAATGTCATTACACCGCCCCATAATTCTATTACTAAGTTTAAAGCCCCTTCCGTCTGACCGATGATTGGATAAAGTGACTAGCGCGTGAATTGCATAGAACTGTCGCAGAAATTCACGGCACAGTCCTTAGGAAAAGTAAAAACGGAAAACATAAAAGAATACCATCAGAAAATATAAAAAAAAAAATTAATAGAGTCTGGAAACATGAATAAAGACTGTCCCGAAGAATGGGAGCACACATGTTTAATGATGTGGAGAGACTAGGGTCGTTCCGTCATGCCCGAGAGGTCTTGGAGTGATTTATTTATGCAGTTTAGAATTTTGATTGTGTAGGGTCAGATGGATTTTGGTCTAAGAGAATTGAAAATTCACACTGTAGATACTTCATTAGAGACATAGAGAAAAAACAACTAAACTTTAAGTTAAATAGTAGTAGCTCCAGCAACAATACTAGTAAAGGAGAAGGATAAAAACGGAAAGAAAGCAAGAAATATAAAATAAAGAAAAACAGAAAAAAGGAAGAGAGCAGTGAAGAAGGAAGGAAATTAGGAAGAAAGGAAGAAAAAATGAAAGAAAGAAAAAAAAAAGACGAAGGAAAAAGAATGAAGGAAGGACAGAAGCACAGACAGATGGAAGAAGACAGGAAAACACAAAAGGAAAAGAAAGGAAGAGGAAGAAGAAACAGAAGAAGGAGGAGAAGAAAAAGAAAAAGAAGAAGAAAAGAAGAAGAAGAAGAAGAAGAAGAAGAAGAAGAAGAAGAAGAAGAAGAAGAAGAAGAAGAAGAGAAGAAGAAGAAGAAGAAGAAGAAGAAGAAGAAGAAGAAGAAGAAGAAGAAGAAGAAGAAGAAGAAGAAGAAGAAGAAAAAGAAGAAGAAGAACAGGACACATCAAAAGTGAGATTTTCACAGGACACATCGAAAGTGAGATTTTCACATAAAGACATATCGACAGTGAGATTTTTATAGAAAGATACATCAACAGTGGGATTTTCACAGAAAGACACATCGACTGTAAGATTTTCACAGAAAGACACATAGAAACTGAGATTTTCACAGGACACATCAACAGTGAGATTTTTACAGGACACATCTACAGTGAGATTATCACAGGGCACATCAACAGTGAGATTTTCACGGGACACATCTACAGTGAGATTTTCACAGGACACTTAAACAGTAAGATTTTCGCAGGGCATATCGACAGTGAGATTTTGTTCGCAGTAAGTTAGCACAACAGTGAAAGTCTCCTTCATCACGACACCTCAACTGCGAAGTAGAAAAAGAGGCGCCAAGAAACCAGCCGCAGAGACAGAAACCAGGAGACAGAACTGACAAGCGACAGCGGTCATAAATTAGGTCAGAACAGGCAAGCACGTTACCAACTCCCAGTACTGGTTTACCCACATACAACCTGATATTGAACTACCAGGACTTTCAACCGGAGCTTACAGCCAGTGAACAAAGAAAAAGAAAAAGAAGAATGTTGGAAACTGTAAGTGCCACTCTGTGTAAGAACCACAAGAGGCTACAGTGAACGACCATAAGATATGAACTATTCTTTGTCAGCTACAACGGCAGATTATTTTGGTTGAAATGACGCTTCATAAATTGTATACATTAGAGGTACTAATGGGGAAAACACAAGCATGGATAAGCGAGATGGATTAAATGAAGCGTGAACAGATATGGTAATTAACGGGTTTGTATTTTGATAAAGTGAGTTTTCATGCATTCTGTAAAGAAAGAAAAAAGAGGATACAGCAGAGAAAATATTGAATATGGTGGGAAAGATATTACTAGTCAAGTTATAATGGTAATGGTGGTGGCAGATGTGGTGACTGTGGTAGAGATGACGACTATGGTAAAGGTGGTGACTAGTAGACGTGTTGAGTGTGGTAGAGATGGCGACTATGGTAAAGGTGGTGACTGTGGTAGAGATGACGACTATGGTAAAGGTGGTGACTGTGGTAAAGGTGGTGACTGTGGTAGAGATGGTGACTGTGGTAAAGGTGGTGACTGTGGTAGAGATGGTGACTGTGGTAAAGGTGGTGACTGTGGTAGAGATGACGACTATGGTAAAGGTGGTGACTGTGGTAAAGGTGGTGACTAGTAGACGTGTTGAGTGTGGTAGAGATGACGACTATGGTAAAGGTGGTGACTGTGGTAAAGGTGGTGACTGTGGTAGAGATGGTGACTGTGGTAAAGGTGGTGACTGTGGTAGAGATGGTGACTGTGGTAAAGGTGGTGACTGTGGTAGAGATGGCGACTATGGTAAAGGTAGTGACTGTGATAAAGGTGGTGACTGTGGTAGAGGTGGTGACTGTGGTAGAGGTGGTGACTGTGGTAGAGGTGGTGACTGTGGTAGAGATGACGACTCTGGTAAAGGTGGTGACTGTGGTAAAGGTGGTGACTGTGGTAGAGATGGTGACTGTGGTAGAGGTGGTAACTGTGGTAGAGGTGGTGACTATGGTAAAGGTAGTGACTGTGGTAAAGGTGGTGACTGTTGTAAAGGTGGTGACTGTGGTAGAGATGGTGACTGTGGTAAAGGTGGTGACTGTGGTAAAGGTGGTGACTGTGGTAAAGGTGGTGACTGTGGTAGAGATGGTGACTGTGGTAGAGATGGTGACTGTGGTAGAGGTGGTGACTGTGGTAGAGGTGGTGACTGTGGTAGAGATGGTGACTGTGGTAGAGGTGGTGACTGTGGTAGAGATGGTGACTATGGTAAAGGTGGTGACTGTGGTAAAGGTGGTGACTGTGGTAAAGGCGGTGACTGTGGTAGAGATTGTGACTGTGGTAGAGATGGTGACTGTGGTAAAGGTGGTGACTGTGGTAGAGGTGGTGACTGTGGTAAAGGCGGTGACTGTGGTAAGATGGTGACTGTGGTAGAGGTGGTGACTGTGGTAGAGATGGTGACTGTGGTAAAGGTGGTGACTGTGGTAGAGATGGTGACTGTGGTAAAGGTGGTGACTGTGGTAGAGGTGGTGACTGTGGTAAAGGCGGTGACTGTGGTAGAGATGGTGACTGTGGTAGAGGTGATGACTGTGGTAAAGGTGGTGACTGTGGTAGAGATGGTGACTGTGGTAAAGGTGGTGACTGTGGTAGAGATGGTGACTGTGGTAAAGGTGGTGACTGTGGTAAAGGTAGTGACTGTGGTAAAGGTAGTGACTGTGGTAAAGGTGGTGACTGTGGTAGAGGTGGTGACTGTGGTAGAGGTGGGGACTGTGGTAGAGATGGTGACTGTGGTAGAGGTGGGGACTGTGGTAGAGATGGTGACTGTGGTAGAGGTGGTGACTGTGGTAGAGGTGGTGACTGTGGTAGAGGTGGTGACTGTGGTAGAGATGGCGACTATGGTAAAGGTGGTGACTGTGGTAAAGGTGGTGACTGTGGTAAAGACGGTGACTGTGGTAGAGATGGTGACTGTGGTAAAGGTGGTGACTGTGGTAGAGGTGGTGACTGTGGTAAAGGTGGTGACTGTGGTAGAGATATTGACTGTGGTAGAGATGGTGACTGTGGTAGAGATGGTGACTGTGGTAAAGGTGTTGACTGTGGTAGAGGTGGTGACTGTGGTAGAGATGGTGAGTGTGGTAAAGGTGGTGACTGTGGTAGAGATGGTGACTGTGTTAGAGATGGTGACTGTGGTAGAGATGGTGACTGTGGTAGAGGTGGTAACTGTGGCAGAGGTGGTGACTGTGGTAGAGGTAGTGACTGTGGTAGAGATGGTGACTATGGTAGAGATGGTGACTGTGGTAGAGATGGTGGCTGTGGTAGAGATGGTGACTGTGGTAGAGATGGTGACTATGGTAAAGGTGGTGACTGTGGTAAAGGTGGTGACTGTGGTAGAGATGGTGACTGTGGTAAAGGTGGTGACTGTGGTAGAGATGGTGACTGTGGTAAAGGTGGTGACTGTGGTAAAGGTAGTGACTGTGGTAAAGGTGGTGACTGTGGTAATGGTGGTGACTGTGGTAGAGGTGGGGACTGTGGTAGAGATGGTGACTGTGGTAGAGGTGGTGACTGTGGTAGAGGTGGTGACTGTGGTAGAGGTGGTGACTGTGGTAGAGGTGGTGACTGTGGTAGAGATGGTGACTGTGTTAGAGATGGTGACTGTGGTAGATATGGTGACTGTGGTAGAGATAGTGACTGTGGTAGAGATGGTGACTGTGGTAGAGATGGTGACTGTGGTAGAGATGGTGACTGTGGTAGAGATGGTGACTGTTTTAGAGATGGTGGCTGTGGTAGAGATGGTGGCTGTGTTAGAGATGGCGACTGTGGTAGAGATGGTGGCTATGGTAAAGGTGGTGACTGTGGTAGAAAAGGTGACTGTGGTAGAGATATAGACTGTGGTAGAGATGGTGACTGTGGTAGAGATGGTGGCTGTGTTAGAGATGGTGACTGTGTTAGAGATGGTGACTGTGGTGGAGATGGTGACTGTGTTAGAGATGGTGACTGTGATAGAGATGGTGACTGTGTTAGAGATGGTGACTGTGTTAGAGATGGTGACTGTGTTAGAGACGGTGAATGTGTTAGAGATGGTGACTGTGTTAGAGATGGTGACTGTGTTAGAGATGGTGGCTGTGGTAGAGATGGTGGCTGTGGTAGAGATGGTGACTGTAGTAGAGATGGTGTCTGTGTTAGAGATGGTGACTGTGGTAGAGATGGTGGCTGTGGTAGAGATGGTGGCTGTGGTAGAGGTGGTGACTGTGGTAGAGATGGTGACTGTGGTAGAGATGGGGACTGTGTTAGAGATGGTGACTATAGAGATGGTGACTGTGGGAGAGGTGGTGACTGTGGCAGAGGTGGTGACTGTGGGAGAGGTGGTGACTGTGGGAGAGGTGGTGACTTTGGCAGAGGTGGTGACTGTGGGAGAGGTGGTGACTGTATTAGAGATGGTGACTGTAGTAGAGGTGGTGACTATAAGAGAGGTAGTGATTGTGGGAGAGGTGGTGACTGTATTAGAAATGGTGACTGTAGAAGGGCCTCCGTAACCGGAAAGGTCGAATTGTAGAGAACAGACACACTGAGAGAGAGAGAGAGAGAGAGAGAGAGAGAGAGAGAGAGAGAGAGAGAGAGAGAGAGAGAGACGCCCTGGTCCTCCAAGTTGGAGGCTGAAGACCCCTACCTTCTCAAAATTGTATCTCGTCACGAAACAAATATCTAAGCCTCGATTTCGGGAGGATTTAAACAGAAACGAACCTTGAACGTAAAAGGATATGTATAATAGTTTTAGAATATAGTGTTTCGGAACATATATAAGTATTGTTGGTTATTTAGCGTACGCTTATCACAAGATCTGCTTTGAGACACAAAATAGACGCAAGTGAAATATTTGAGTCATAATAAACGACAAAACTCCGGTAAAAACTATATCACAGGGCCATTTAAAAACAAGCGAGCAACATACACACAGCGATACACATGGGAGTCTATCATGAAGTGATGGGCGAATATCTTTTTCAAGCAGTAATAAACCAAGATGACAGACAGATGTTAGGGTCCATTGCGCTGAAGTTTTATAATGAAAACAGCAATTGCTTGATAGCTAAAACTAGGAAACAATTGGACGCTGTAAGTTTCTCAGTGTAGATCTTTACTTATGTGTGTAACTAAGGTTGAGAAACAATGGGAGGCTGCAGTGTTTTAGTGTAGATCTTTACTTATGTGTGTAACTAAGGTTGAGAAACAATGGGAGGCTGCAGTGTTTTAGTGTAGATCTTTACTTATGTGTGTCACTAAGGTTGAGAAACAATGGGAAGCTGCAGTGTTTTAGTGTAGATCTTTACTTATGTGTGTCACTAAGGTTGAGAAACAATGGGAAGCTGCAGTGTTTTAGTGTAGATCTTTACTTATGTGTGTCACTAAGGTTGAGAAACAATGGGAGGCTGCAGTGTTTTAGTGTAGATCTTTACTTATGTGTGTCACAAAGGTTGAGAAACAATGGGAGGCTGCAGTGTTTTAGTGTAGATCTTTACTTATGTGTGTCACTAAGGTTGAGAAACAATGAGAGGCTGCAGTGTTTTAGTGTAGATCTTTACTTATGTGTGTCACTAAGGTTGAGAAACAATGGGATGCTGCAGTGTTTTAGTGTAGATCTTTACTTATGTGTGTCACTAAGGTTGAGAAACAATGGGAGGCTGCAGTGTTTTAGTGTAGATCTTTACTTATGTGTGTCACTAAGGTTGAGAAACAATGGGAGGCTGCAGTGTTTTAGTGTAGAGCTTTACTTATGTGTGTCACTAAGGTTGAGAAACAATGGGAGGCTGCAGTGTTTTAGTGTATAGCTTTACTTATGTGTGTCACTAAGGTTGAGAAACAATAGGATGCTGAAGTGTTTTAGTGTAGAGCTTTACTTATGTGTGTCACTAAGGTTGAGAAACAATGGGAGGCTGAAGTGTTTTAGTGTAGATCTTTACTTATGTGTGTAACTAAGGTTGAGAAACAGTGGGAGGCTGCAGTGTTTTAGTGTAGAGCTTTACTTATGTGTGTCACTAAGGTTGAGAAACAATGAGAGGGTGCGTTTTAGTGTAGATCTTTACTTATGTGTGTCACTAAGGTTGAGAAACAATGGGAGGCTGAAGTGTTTTAGTGTAGAGCTTTACTTATGTGTGTCACTAAGGTTGAGAAACAATGAGAGGGTGCGTTTTAGTGTAGATCTTCACATATGTGTGTCACTAAGGTTGAGAAACAATGGGATGCTGAAGTGTTTTAGTGTAGATCTTTACTTATGTGTGTCACTAAGGTTGAGAAACAATGGGATGCTGAAGTGTTTTAGTGTAGAGCTTTACTTATGTGTGTCACTAAGGTTGAGAAACAATGAGAGGGTGCAGTGTTTTAGTGTAGATCTTTACTTATGTGTGTCACTAAGGTCGAGAAACAATGGGAGGCTGCAGTGTTTTAGTGTAGATCTTTACTTATGTGTGTCACTAAGGTTGAGAAACAGTGGGAGGCTGCAGTGTTTTAGTGTAGATCTTTGCTTATGTGTGTCACTAAGGTTGAGAAACAATGGGAGGGTGCAGTGTTTTAGTGTAGATCTTTGCTTATGTGTGTCACTAAGGTTGAGAAACAATGAGATGCTGAAGTGTTTTAGTGTAGAGCTTTGCTTATGTGTGTCACTAAGGTTGAGAAACAATGGGAGGGTGCAGTGTTTTAGTGTAGATCTTTACTTATGTGTGTCACTAAGGTTGAGAAACAATGGGAGGCTGCAGTGTTTTAGTGTAGAGCTTTACTTATGTGTGTCACTAAGGTTGAGAAACAATGAGAGGGTGCAGTGTTTTAGTGTAGATCTTTACTTATGTGTGTCACTAAGGTTGAGAAACAGTGGGAGGCCGCAGTGTTTTAGTGTAGATCTTTGCTTATGTGTGTCACTAAGGTTGAGAAACAGTGGGAGGCTGCAGTGTTTTAGTGTAGATCTTTACTTATGTGTGTCACTAAGGTTGAGAAACAGTGGGAGGCTGCAGTGTTTTTTAGTGTAGATCTTTACTTATGTGTGTCACTAAGGTTGAGAAACAATGGGAGGCTGCAGTGTTTTAGTGTAGATCTTTACTTATGTGTGTCACTAAGGTTGAGAAACAGTGGGAGGCTGCAGTGTTTTAGTGTAGATCTTTGCTTATGTGTGTCACTAAGGTTGAGAAACAATGGGAGGGTGCAGTGTTTTAGTGTAGATCTTTACTTATGTGTGTCACTAAGGTTGAGAAACAGTATGAGGCTGCAGTGTTTTAGTGTAGATCTTTGCTTATGTGTGTCACTAAGGTTGAGAAACAATGGGAGGGTGCAGTGTTTTAGTGTAGAGCTTTGCTTATGTGTGTCACTAAGGTTGAGAAACAATGGGAGGCTGCAGTGTTTTAGTGTAGAGCTTTGCTTATGTGTGTCACTAAGGTTGAGATACAATGGGAGGCCCGGGGGGGGGGGAGGGGGGGGTGAGGTGGATGATAAGTGAGCGAGTAAAGCTTAACTTATAGGATTACAGTGTTAGCGAGTAATACCTAGTAATTCAAAGAGTCTCTATTAGAAGTAGAATTGCTCATGATAAATGTCAAAATCCCCGTTTAACCACTGCACGACGCAGATATATTGAGGTCTGCGTGGGTTACGAGTTAGGGACGTGGCTGACAGAGTGGATTTTACCACTCTACAGAACATGCACACATCTCTGAAGCATGGGAGACCCAGCAGAGTAGTGGCTAACCTGCTAGCCGTGGGATTCTAGGTTGGAGTACGTACCAGTTTGATTCGGCGGGTGGTGGGGGGGGGGGAGGGAGGGGGATTTGGGGCTTAGATTCCCATGCAAGCCCAGCCTAAATTCGATACCAGGTAATGTTATTTAAATTAGGGCTGGACAGCGTACTGTGTCGATTGTTCCATAAAATAACCTTGAACATATGACTGATTAAGAGTCGATTGGTCATAAGATAACGTTGAACGTATCACTGACTGGGAGCCCACTGGTCCATAAGAAACGAGTCTAGCATCATGTTCCCGTTAAGCCATAACAAAAAGGTCCTAAAGAAACAAACGAATCCCTGAGGCTGGAAACAATTAGGATCCATAGATGGGTTTTCTGAACTTTGACTTATATTCCCCAGGCTCAGTAAGAATGGAATAGAAAACATGGGGTTGGCAGGCGCCCAAAAACACTAACTTTTATCATAACACTTCTCTGACCATCCACTATGGCTCATTGGGCTCTTTAGTTAATGTTGCGATGAACATTGTAAATGTCATTAGATATAAAGTGAGTGGTAATATTGTTAAACCTCTCCAGGGCTTTCAGTGCCAACTCATCCTTACAATAGGAATAAACTCACAGGGAGCAAGTACAGAAGGGATCTACCAGTCGTCAGTAGAAATTATCCTCGTCGACACGCGTTTCGGCCCACGATTCCTAGACGCATTTGGAGGTGGGCCCTCCTGAGTTCATGAAGCTCAGGGCTGGTTCCCTGCTGCACGGGATTACCGGATGGTGTTTTACTTTCGGCCAGAGACAAGACGACTTGGTGGTTTCGCAGAAGGTACTGTGAGATAAGAAGCCGCCGCGGCAGCCTAATTAAAGCTGTCAGCATGCCTGGACGACCGAGCGACAAGCTTACTTTGGTTTACCGGACACATGTTGGACTTTTATTAGCAGTTGACAGAGGAACTTTCAAAGGGGTGAGAAACCCTTTTCCACTAGACACCCGGACCAGCTCACCGAGGCCCGTCCCCTACGTTGTTGCGTTGCGTCCAAAGCCAGCTAGAGGCCCTTTCGGCTGCCTCTCCCAGTTTTTTAGTGTTCGTTTCCGTTCATTACCGCGCAATCCTAATTCTTTCACCACATTGTAGAGCGAAGTGGAAACGAGGCCTC